TTTCTATTGTTAGATGTATTTTCTTACACTCTTTATACAGTTGAAGTTTTCTTAATTCTTCTCTTTCTTACATACAACTTATTACCTCGAAACTAGCTCAGATCCGTTACAAGAAAAGTGTGGGTCACCGCTTATAAAGGTGACGCTTGCTGAGCTGTCAATCTCTAACCTTCGTCATGCTTTTACACTTAACTAACGAATCGCATTAAGCTACGCAGAGCGGAGTTCGCATACTAAGTAGGTACCTTCGAGATGTTTACGTTTTTCAAAATGATTTTCTACCTTAAATTTCTTAGTCTTACGGTCAAGTTCGGGCAAAACAAAAACAATATTGACAATATAAAAATTATAATAAACTTGCTAACAGAATTAAAATCATCGTTGAAGAGATATCCTAAGAGACTCGAAGACTGTTACATAACGTCAGAATAAACAGAAAATTTGGAGAAGGAAGGGCATACCCGAGGTACCACCTCCAAGAGAGCTACTTGTTATTCGTATAAGTTTCCTGATTATAAATTCAGTGCGGAGGATGAAAAGTACTACATGTTTACACCTTAAGTCACCTCTAAGAAAAAGAGGTGTCGAACGTGCTAAATTATACCTGTAAGATAATAATAATAATAAGGACTTTATTTATAGAGGGGGACACGTAACAGCTGAAAAGCTGACAAACCTGTGGCCCTCTAACTAGATTATACAGCATTACAAAATAATACTAATAAATAGATAAATATACAAACAATTACAAAATTCTATGATAGAAATAGCAGGATATATTAAAAATATTCAGAAAGATAAAATTAATTTATAAAAAATTAAAATTAGATAATGTGCTATTGCTTAATATTGTTTCAAAGTTGTCCAGGTTTCTATATGAGCTTATAAAATACTTTTTCACAGCTGTTTTGAATAGTTTTATACTAGGCTTATTTTTGATATTATGGGGAAGGCTGTTCCATAACTTAACTGCGTCAACACTGAATGCCTTGCCACCATCGTTATTTCTTAGGTATTTGGGACACACTAAATTTAAATTGCCATGTCTAGTAGACCTATTGTGTACAGAACTGTTCGTCTTGAGCAAGTCTCTGATGTAAATCGGAACATCGCCTTTAAGGCTCTTAAAAATCATTGTACACTTATTTAGTTTGATTTCATCAAAAAAAGGCAACCAGCCTAGTTTACTAAAGTTTATAACACTTCTAGAATAAGAGTCAACTCCAAGGATTACTCGGGCAGCCCTTTTCTGTAACCTTAGGAGACAGTGGAGTTCTTTAGCGTCGCAGATATTCCAAACCATGCTCTCATACATAAGGACGGGTTTAATCAAGGCGTTATAGTATAAGAGTCTTTCTTTTATTGGAAGGTACCTCTTTATCTTCTTCAATAAACCAATACGCTGAGAAAGCTTGGCCTTTAGACTAGAAATGTGGTCGCTAAATGTAAGATCTTGATCGAGTGTTACACCAAGCAATTTATAAGAAGATTACTTGTTCTATTTCGGCCCCATCAAGGGTTATTGACAGGTGATTGCCTTCCGCTAATGATGAATGTAGCCTCTTTCCGGTGATAAGTAATGCATTGGTTTTAACGGCGTTTAGGACCATCCCATTTTCGCTAGACCATTTACTTAATTTATCCATGTATTCTTGAAGACGTCGTTCCAATTCCAAAGGTGCATTATCGATATTAGCGCTGGCTTTAAATGTGGTGTCATCCGCGTAAGCATGAATAGTTGAGTCCGATCCAACAGCTTCGGGAAGATCATTGACGAAAATTAAAAACAGTAGAGGTCCTAATATGCTACCTTGAGGAACTCCATTGGTTAGCGTAAGTTGTGACGAAGTCGAGTTATTTACAGTAACACACTGTTTGCGATTGAGTAGATAGCTCTGCAATAGCTTTACAACATTATCTGGAAATCTATATGATCTTAACTTTATCAGGAGAATGTCATGATTGATCAAGTCGAATGCCTTGCTATAGTCCACAAAAACTAAGCCGCTGACGTTGTTCTTATCAAGGTCAAGAAGGACTTGGTCCAGAAGAAACAACAAAGCAGTATCCGTGGAGTGGTTTTACGGAACCCTGATTGGAAGCGGTATAAAAGTGAATTTTCTGTTAAGTAGGTGTTCACAGCATTGAAGATGTGTCTTTCAAAGACTTTAGAAAGAATAGGCAAAATGCTAATAGGACGATAGTTTTGAATATCTTGCTTGTTTCCTTGATTCTTGAAAAGAGGTTTAACCTTTGCTATTTTCCATTGTGAGGGAAATGTACAAGTTTCAATACAGTGATTTATAATTTTAGCTATGGAGCATGATATTTCAGGAGCTGCAATCCTTAGAACTCTGGCACCAAGCCCATCGATTCCCGTGGCTTTGTGTGTAGGTATACTTAGAAGATAATCGTTAACCTCACTAGGAGTTATTTGCGGAATAAGATTTTCAATTTGACTGTTAGATTTGTCTGGTGGACCAGGAAGAGCATCATAATGAAGTACAGGTGTCGACTTTATGAGACGTTTATATACATCAACGAAGAAGCGGTTAAAGCGTTCAGCGATTGAATGGTCATCCTTTATCAAGTTGTTGTTTTCGTCAGCAATAGGGACGGAGTCGTCGTTATTCTTTGTATCTTTAGATAGGTCTTTAATTAAAGACCAAAGTTTCTTTTGGACATTTTTGATTTTTACTGAACTGAGTTTTAAAGTACTGTTCCTTCGCATTTCTTAGTTTCCTCGTCACTTTGTTTTTAACCAGTTTAAAAGCAGACCAATCTTGCTTATTTTGTGTTCTCCTGGCCCTCTTTAGAAGATTATCGCGTTTATTTATTTCGTTGTATAGATCATTAGTGAACCATTTTGGCTGATTGATTTTCTTCACACTCTTGGACTTTAAAGGTGCGTGATTATCAAGAATGTCATTAAAGATTTTGTACCAAGATTCAACAATGTCATCGGCATCTCGAAAAACAAAGGAGATATCCCAAGGGGCTTCTCTGAGGTCTCGCAGAAAGCACTCTTTGTTGATTTTGTCGATATTTCTGTATTTGATTTTGGAATGTTGTTTACGTTGTGCATCCATGGTTTTGTAGCACCTCAAGATGGTGACCGGAAGGTGATCGGAAAGTCCAGATTTACCTATGGATACTTCTCTAATTCTAGCAGGATGACTAGAATAAATATGGTCTAAGCACGCATCAGAGGCAGGTCTTGTTACCCCATTTACCATCTGCGTTAGTCCAAGACTGTTCAGTGCCTTTGCGAGACAATGTTTTGAATAACAGTTGAAATCAATATAATCCAAATTAAAGTCTCCCAGAATAATCAATTCATTGTTTTGGAGATGGGCATTTTCAATATTTTTACCCAAGCTCTCATTATAATCTTTGTTGGCTGAAGGTGGACGGTAAACACCAGATATCAAAATCGGTCTCTTTGATTTATGAGGACAAATTTGAAGCCAGAGAGTTTCAAGATCATCCAGTTCCAAATCTCTTCGACGTAAAGCCATAACTTTCTCATTTACATACGCAAATATGCCGCCACCTTTCTTCCCGATTCGATCTTTTCTGTGTAATGTGTAGCCGGGTATCATGTAATAGCTGTTTGGAATTTTTCTTGATCCGAACGTCTCAGTGAGAATTAAGACGTCGAGTTTAGCAGCACTGTTGTTATTCGAGGTGAGCATTAGCGATAGTTCTTCCAATTTGGTGTCAGTCAGTCGTTGGATGTTCCAGTGGCAGACTGATAAACCTCTGAAGCCTGCAGGTGGTTGAAGATTATTAGGCCCTGGATTGACGGCAATATCGCCAGATAGAAGAATGCACAGACAAAATTGGCCAAGCTTGATGAACCGCAACAACGCGTGAAGCTTCAAATTCAATTCGCAAGGTGTGCATTTCGAAGGCTCAATGAAGATAAGACGATCGAATTCAGGTGTAATTGAAAAAGGAATAAAACGCTGAAAATGTCAATCAACTGCAAAAATATGTCTTATTATAATTTTTAATTGATTGAGAGGGACTAATTTCCCCTTAACCTGGAAATATAATTGAAACTTTGCGACGACCATTCATTTTAAACGTTTAAATAAGACCGCCAAAAGGAATAAAAAAAACCTTATTATAATTTTTATGATTGTAATATAAATTCATTTTAAACGTTTAAATAAGTAAAAAAAAACCTATGATGAAAATTCTTACTAGATCCAATTTTGTCTTTTAACACTATACATTTCCTAAGGTGCTAACAAGGAGAATTTGTTTATCAGTCTAGAGAATATTTAGTTGGTGATCATTTCCGTTATTCTCATGACCTTATTGTGTGATGCAGGGGTTATACCGTTGGGAGAAATTAGATGCTAATCACTCTCAGGGGTTAAAGAGTTAAAGAAAACCGCATTTTGCCACATTGCTATCGCTGTGATGATAACAGTGATTGTTAGACCTGTCTACTCAAATACGTCTTTTGATTAGAGGAGAGCGTGTCACGTGCAAGTTGATACACGTTGATACATAGTCAATACAATGGGTAAAAACCATTAAATCCTTTGGTGAAAAAGGAAACTCAGGGACTCCCGGAGAAACAACAGATTTAATTTTCGACTAATGCGCGATTAGGTCGTAAACCGGCTGGAAAGCGCACAGCAAAATCACCCATGCGTGACATGGGTGACAACCCACTGAGTGGCACTTGAGGTTTCACCATGGGAATATTAATATAAAGGTGTCGTGAAAACAAATATCACGTCTAGGCCTGTCATATTCCGCAACAGTTACGATCGTGAGGCTAAACTGTACTCTAATAAAGCATACTGTTCTAACCAATCAGGGGGAGCGTTGTATTGTAACTTCGTGTATCATGCAATTACCTACCTAAACATAATGATACATAAACCCGGTTTGCAGAAAACGTGATTAAATTTAAAAATAAGATTTGATTCATCGATCAAATTTGGCCCCTGGCGTGACGTTGTTGTGAAGTACATGAAATGGCTTTATTTGCATGCAGAGGCGCATGCTTGTAATTCACGCCATTTTTTGCCAAGCTTAATTGTAATAACTCGAGAGAGTTCTCTTAAGGAAACCATAGGAAAATCTAACTCAAATGGATGGAGAGGAGGGCATCGAAAACGCTTTTAAAAAGTTGAAGCGTTTCTTTCGTGGTAAAAGGTTCCAAGACAGCTCGTGGTCATGGGTCGTGTGTATTTCAGCGGCCGTGTGCAATGCAATCAACCTTGGCTTTACACTCAGCTTTGGAGTTTTGTTCCCGGAGTTGATGAGGCACTTTAATGCCACAAGAGAAAGGACAGGTATGCTGATCATAAATCTGTTTAAGTAACGGAAATTTATGAGCTAAATGCTGATTTTGTCGTTCAGTTCTCGTCAGAAGACTGGCTTAGGCCTGAGGGCGAACCATGAGACAATCATGTAAATAACCAGTATGAATAAAACGAACAAGCTTTCGCGGAAGCGACAGGAGACCGCTTGCTCTTGTTTTTTCTCATTCTTGTTGGTAACGCATGTAAACCATGTTCAAACGCTTCATCACTGAAAACGTTGATTTGTACAAATTATTTTAGAAGACCTGTGGTATACGATGAGGAGGACTGTTCATTTTTAAAAAAACAACGCATCCATAGTGAATTGTTGTGATACACTGTTTGTCCATGATTGCAGCCTTCGAAAAATTTCGTTTAAATAACCGCCCTTAAGTTATTTAAGCCTGAAGAGTCTTCCCCCGCAGAGTACTAATGAGGGAGTCTTTCAAATAAACAATAAGCTTGTGGCTTTCTGTTGATTATGTAAAATTAATATCTACTGTATGAGCTGCCAATCGAAAAAGTAATATGTAAGATAACTCTTGCATCAGTTTAGTAAAGTGATGCAGGAAAACCAGGAATGGAGTGAGCAAATCCATTAAAATGATTCATTGGAAATCATGGAAGCGTAAACGAATGAATTCAGATTTTCTGAACATTATTATGGACGTCCAATTAAGTGACCTTACTTGACCAAGTGGTAAAGTGGCAGATGTTTAGTATGTAAATTGTTGTAATAAAGAAGTTTCCAGTGCTGCACAAAACTCTAAAATCTTTTTAATACGTGACCCACGTGCGTCCTGGCTCATAACGTAGATGAGATGCAGGATTGCGACACTAGACTTGTCTGAAGAGGAACATAATAATACTCTCTTGAAAGGTCAAAAACCGTTTCAGTATGTTTTTCCCAAAGATATCCAGCTGACTTTGTATAGGTACTTAAAATACCAAAATGAATGGAACTAATATCAATTAAAATCATCTTTTTGACAGCCTGGGTTGGCTCCATCGGCCTGGCCATGGTTTGGTTTGCCAGTTTGCTGGCTGGATATCTGTGTGATCACTTTGGATGTCGTATCACATGTTTTATGGGAGGACTCCTGTGCATTGCAGGTTTGGTAGCGACTTCCTTCGCTAATAGCCTCACTGTTATGTACTTTACTTACGGTTTGGTGTACGGAATGGGGGCCTGTTTCATTTACAACTCTTACTTCTTGGTTGTTGGAACGTATTTCAAACAAAAACTCTCGTTAGCTGTTGGTATAACGGCATTAGGGTCTGGTGCAGGTGTCCTTTACAACGGCCCGTTGCTACAGGCTCTTTTGGACGCGTTTGGATGGAGAAACACATTTAGAATAATGACGGCAACCTTCGCTCTTGTTTGCATTTTGAGTTTGAATTTCAATCCAAATGTAGAGACAACATCGGAGGTGGATGTGGAATCAGAAACTTTAGACGCGGAACAAAAACTAGGAATTAAGGGAAGAATCACTTTTTACTGCAGCGTGTGGACATTTCCTGTTTACACTTTTGTAGTCATTTCTATAACAGTTGGAAGTTTTGGCATGTTCATTCCAATCATCAATCTGGTTAGTATACAGCTTTTCATAGTATAGCTAATTCTTTTGTCATTTAAAAAGGAAAAAATATTTGATAAATGTGTCGATATGGGCGAAGGTCCATATTCAAGAAAATCTGTATTTTGTATTATGAGTTCAATAGTTGCTTGAGCTTTGCATGGTCTTGTTAATACTTGTGTGCCACAGTAAGGATCAACATGCACGTTTTGTATCAGGTTTTGTGCTAAGCGGAAGGTCTCAGTTGTTAAAACATCAGTTCCTCTAGGCAGGAGTTTAAAACCAAATACACCCCGTCTTCACAGCCTCTAGGCATTTAGGCAAGCATTGCCCCGGGATCCTGGCATTATTTTGTAGGTGAATAGTCAGCCTTTTCCAACCATCAATGTGGACGAGGTGCATATCCACGTCTGCTTACTAAGCGCATGGAACAAGCAAGTGACAACCATTGACTCTATGAACTGCACTCGAAATCAATTTACAACCTTTTTAAATATATACAATCCTTTTAAAATTAAGATGTTTACTTTGAAGATCTGTGAAATAATGAGAATTCTCTCTGTCGTCCCCTCTTCTCTCCGTATGCTCCATTGACAAATTTATGAAGCCACAATCTGTATAAATCCTAACTAGGTCAAATATTGTGAGGATCTTGGGATCAAGGCGCAGAGTGCCTCTCGATTGTTCATCTTCATTGGCCTTACCTCATCCCTTGCACGGATTCTGTCAGGAAAACTGTGCGAATATCCAAAGATTAACCCAGTGTTTGTCTATCAGTCGTCCCTGTTTATTGGTGGTGTATCTGCCCTCCTGTTACCTTCTGCAACCGAATACTGGGCCTTAGTTGTATTTAGCTGTGCTTATGGAACAAGCGACGGAATTTTTATATCAACATCGTGTTACATCTTACTTAGTTGTGTGGACAAAAAAAGAAAAACAGCTTCATTCTGTATCGAATGCCTGCTTTACTCGTTTTCAGCAGCGACTGGCGGACCAATTGCTGGTAAGTATTTCTCCGCACAGAAGTTAAATGCTACTTTCCTAAAAGCCATTTCGTTTGAACTTTAGACGCCTGCAATGATCATGTACTTGTTATTCAACGCTTTTTTTTTCTACGTAAGAAAGGATTTCTGTCATCTAACGGTGTGAAAACGTAGATCCCTTTCTTTCAAAGCAAGGGAAAAGATGTAATGTAAAGAGAATGATACATGGGTGGTTGTAGACGTGCAATTGTTTCTTTGAGTATTCGACTCGATAGTTCACGAGTGAGTTATCGAGTTGAACAGGAGAAAACAAATTCCATATTTACATGTTACCATATATTATTTCGTTTATTTTATAAACACAATAGCGCTTTCTGACAAGACAAGTCGTCTTTATAAATGAATGTAAAAAGATAGGCGATGTATGGCTCAAGATGAAAAATGCGTTGAATCATTACAGAACTTGAAACAATGGGCGTAACTTTCAATTTACAAAATTATTAGTTGTTGACTTTTCCCATCCACAGAAGAAATCTTTTCAGGTACACGGCCAAAATGGGCCTGTGGCAAACTCGTCTTCCAGAAGTCGTTTTTCGTCCTCAGTGACGTGTCAGCAACTTATTGGTGATGTCAAGCGCACATGAAAAACTTATATTTTTTCACGTGTGTTGTTGCGGCTTTTACCGCAGTTTACACGATAAGTGGCTTTCACATGGTAGTAAATGCCCCATACAATTTCTATGCTAGGTAGCTTCGAAAAAAAATGGTCGTGGTGCAAAATAAAATACAGAAATATAATGAGCGTGCAAAAATTGAAAGTATTCCCAGTTTTTAGGCCACTCGCATTTGAAAAGCCACAGCTTGAACAGGGATAGGTTTCCATTCGGTAAATGTTTTTCATTATTGTTTATTCAGATGACTATCAAATGTTGTATTTTAGGCGGTAGCAGCCTCCACACTGCAACTGGCTATCATTAAACGACTCCCTCTGCATTTATTGCATTTTTTTGTACTAGAGCCATTTCAATTAAGTAAGGAAAGTAATCGACGACTGCTTTCCTTTTTTTTTTTTGCCACGCTCTGTGATTGATTTGGAAAATTTCGCCATTCCCTCAACCTAAAACCAATCACGACTTGGTCGCCCCAGTGTTCCCGTGTTTTAGGTGGTTTGGTTGCTTTACATTTGAATGCTTACTTCCTCTTATAGGAATTTTTCTCCTTCTGATTGGCCGTTTTGATTCTCTGCTTTTGGTTTTTACAAAACTCAATCGAACAGCGCTCTCTAACCTGTGGTATAATTTACAAGTTTAGTGACTGGCTCTTGCAAGAGTCGTTTCCGTCTCCAACTAACCAACCTTTCCACCTTCGTTCCGTAACGTTTGATCTGAATGCTTCATACTGATCTTTCTCTCTTTGGTTTTGCGTTGACTTCCACAGGACTGATGGCAGACCAAACAGGGAACTACATAAATTCGTTTTACATGACCGGCGGTGTTGTGATGTTTGCATTTTTGATTCCCTTTGCATTGATTTTCATCAACCGGGAAAAGTCTCGAGTCAGCCCAATAGTGTCAAGAGAATGAAAGACAAAGAAGCAAAGTGTACTGCTCCAAGAGCCGATGTGGCAGCCAATAATTTCCCTGCTCAGAGCTAATTAAAAAATAATCGCACCCATCTTTTCCAGCAACTTTAACAATGTCTTCAGAGTAAAAGTCTTTCGTCTTTTATAGTGAAACTGAAAAGCCTCATTGCCTTTAAAATCGAAGGCTTGTTATGTAAGGTGAATGGCATATGATTAGTTTGCCTTTAACAAGATTTAATTTTATGGGCAAAAACGCTAATGAGAGGAACGAATGAGCAAAGGAGATCAGATGATTTAACACGAAGCTGTGAAGTACTTTAACTTTCTTTATTTGCATGGGAAACAGCCGTGGAAAATTTCTGTTAAAAGCAACGGAAAGAGTTTTTTCTACCTAGACTCGACCGTATCCTTCTTAAGTCCGGGCTCTAGAGATTGAAAATTTGCACTTTTGATATATATGCGATATTGACCAAGCGTGAGGTCAAGATGGCTAGATATTAGCAGAGTTCTTTTTTTGCGTTTCAATGGACCGGGACCAAGTCGAGGTCCATAGAAGCGCAAAAAAAAGGGAACGATGCTTATATCGAACCATCTTAACCAAACAAGCGGCATAATTTAAGAAGAATAAAAAATGACTTGTTTATTTTGAGATACGGGAGAGAAATCGACGTGCGTTCGCAACATAACAAACCTACGAGATTTGTTTAATGTTTTCGTTGTTTTTAATGTCTTCTGCTGCGGTCAAGTTTCCATAATTCCTCCCCCCCCTTTATACTTTGTTAGCGACAACTGATCCCCCTATGTTCCCCCTGAAAGCCATGTGATCCCCCAAAGTCCTCCATTCCCCCACCCCCTCAAGATAAATGACTGGTCTGGTCCCTTGGATACGATTGCGTAAGTAGTTTTGTTGAAGTTACAATGGAAAAATAATCACGTGAGTCGCTTGTAAATTTGTGATCTATATGAAAGAAACAACTCACTGATTCGCTAGTTCATATATTCACGAATCACTCTCGCACCTTTTTTAAAATTCATGCGTCACATCTTAATTTTAGACTTTAAACACGTCACGTGTAAACGCTTAGCTACCCTCTCTGAATAACTATTTATCATAATTTTGTCTAGACTATCCAGCGGCTTATGAACACACGAGACGATCTTCGAGTATATGAAACCTGCCTCAAGACGCCTTTTTATCCGGTCAAGGTCAAGTTTTTGTTAATTCGCCCATAAGTAGATGACATTACAACACGTTTGGCCTGGAATTCTTCATTAAGTAGTCTGTGCTTATGAATAGGCTGGAAAATAGGGTCAGCAAATCAAAACCACCGCAAATATCACCCATGTGTGACCTGGGTGACAACCTACAGGGTGACACTTGAGGTTTCGCTATGAAAATATTAAAGATGTCGTGAAAACAAATATCACATCTAGGCCAGTCATTAAGTACTTATTCCGCAACGGCTAGAATAGCGAGGTTATACCAGCTGCAGGGACCTCACCAGTCCCTCTCCACCAGAGAGCACGAGTATACTTAAGATGGAGAATAAAGAAGAATGCCCAAATGTTTCTTCTCTTCTCTAACAAAGCACACTGTCTTAACCAATCAGAGGGAGCGTCATATTAAAACTTCATGCATCATGCTATATGCTACCTAAACATAAGGACATATAAACCCGGTTTGCAGAAAACGTGATCAAATTTAAATATTGGACTTAATTCCTTAGTCAAAATTAGCTAATTAGCTCCAGGCGTGATGTTGTTGTGAAGTACATGGAATGGCTTTATTTGAATACAGAGGCGCATGCTTGGAGTTCACGCCATTTTTTCGCCCGAGTTAATTTTAGTAACTCGACTGAGTTCTCTTAAGGAGACTTGGGAAAATCTAACTCAAATGGATGGAGATCGGAGAAAAGGGCATTGAAAACGCTTTTAAAAAGCTGAAGCGTTTCTTTAGCGGTAAAAGGTTCCAAGATACACCGTGGTCAAGGGTCGTGTGTATTTCAGCGGCCGTGAGTGATGCATTCAGTGTCAGCTTTACACTCAGCTTGGGAGTTTTGTTCCCGGAGTTGATGAGGCACTTAAATGCCACAAGAGAAAGGACAGATATTCTGATGATAAATCTTTTTCAGTGACGAAAGGTTATAAACTAAACGCTGATTTTGTCGTTGAATTCTCATCGGAACGCTGGTTTGGGCCTGAGGGTGCACTATGAGACAACCATGTAACCAACCGACCAGTGGCCCATAATTGACAAAACGTTCCAAACACAAAGCGCAAATATTTTTATTTTCCCACCGAAATTTCCGTTTTTTTCGCCTAAATGATAAGCACCCCATAATTTAGTATGTACTTGGCATAGTTAATCAGTTGGGTAGAAACCATTCCCACTTCAACATAGTCCTGATGGCAATGAAACTGGCTCTGTTTGGCCATCTTATGATGTTTTATATAGACTTTATGGATCGCCTAACTACTACAACTAATTCTAGCTTTATGAGTCATGCAAGACGTGAGGGTAACAGTTAAAAGCGAACCGCTTTAGCCAAGACACAAGTCTCATTCCTTGGAATATTAAAATGAATAAGCCGAATAATTCGTTTGGTTTTTGGCAAGGATTTAACAGCCACAGCAAGTGGAATGACAAAACTGGTGCTCTTATTGGGATAATTGGCTTTCCAGCAAATGACTGTGTATTTCCAATTCGAAGTCCAGGGTAAGGTTTGGTACGAGGGGAGGTTGGTTGGGCATGGTCGATTCGAATTCATGTGGAAACGAGTTACAAACCACGAAGCACATAGGGGCATTTTGCTACATTTTTGTCCAGTAAAGTCTAAATACGTGGATGTAAATCATTGAAAAGGCTTTTACCAGCTAAGTATTTAAAGAAACGGCTGAAAACAAAGCATTACAGGGCATTACCATGAGAAATAATGCCGGCCCATTTTAACAAAAGCCATGGCCGAGAACGAATGGTACTTCATAGGTAAGTGGCTGTGTTGGTGGGCAAAATGATCAAAATAAGGACTAACGTCGTCCTTTTGTCCGAATCTGCAAATTTTAAAGGATGTACTCCAATATTTATTTACAGAAAATGTAGCTTGTGCTTCATGCCTTTTTAGTTCATAGTTTCTTAGGACAGATTGTGTTGCTCTGTTTGTGTTGATATCAACAAAATAATATTGAGAAATAGCACCCGCGCAGAGTCTTAAGAGTATGTTAAGATCTTATTCCGCATTAAGGAAATAATTTCATTTCCGATTTACAATAGACAATTTTCAATTGCTCAATTTCAGTTTCCTAGTTTTCATCTATCTCGTTTAAGTAACGTCCATTCACGCCGCACTTCACCTTTATTGTTTATGGACCAAAGAGATGGTAAGGGTTTGTACCCGTGAAGTGGTTTATGTAAAAATTAAAGATTTTAGGTATCAATCTGTTGAAATCTTCGGTGAGATCGAGGAGCAGTTGTCACTGTACAAATTATAGTCTGATCTGGAATGTTTTCGTTTTTTTGTTATTCCAAACCGAAAAAAATCGAAGGGTAACTTTAAGCTATCGGTGCGTAATAGTCGATGCACACAAAGCTCAGATCTACTCAGTGAGATATGAAATTTTTGATACTAACCACACCCGGTAATTTTCAAAGGCAAACGCCCTTCGATAGTTGTGGTTGCTTCTGATTGTTTCAAAAACGTTGGAACTGAATGGGCTCACTCCAAAGCCTGAAAATGCCACTAACTTTAAGACCCTCATTTCATCATGCAAGACCTGCACGGAAAGTCGCCTATGAAAACTGGTCGTAATTTAAGTTAACAAGGGGATGGGAAGAAAGAATTAATTTCTTATCCCTTGATTTCCTTCTTCATCAACTGTCTTCGATTATAGATCCATGCAAACTAGATCATCTCTTTTAATTTTTGCCTTTATTTTTCACACTACAGTCAAAAGCTTGAAGTTTAAATATTTGACAAACTTGCCCTACAACCCAGGAAAAGCTACTAACAGTTCCATTATAACTGCTACCCTTAACGTTGTTGGCACGTTTTTTTTAATCAGTCTAACGCACTTTGTGTAGTATCCAGTAGGCTCGGTTGTAGTAGTTGGCATCAGCACCAACAACAGCAGGTGCTTCGAAGCCCGAACTAGCCTTCCACCCCTTTTCTGCTCCACGCTTCCCTTCAATCGGTTGACCAGTTTGAAACACGAGCCTCTTCGTGAAGACGTTTTCAATGAAGTACTTGCCATCACTAAGTGGAGTAATCATCCAGATGGCTCGATTGTAGTAGTTGGCATCAGCTCCGACAACAGCAGGTGCTTTGAAGCCTGAACTAGCCGCCCACCCCTTTTCTGCTCCACGAGGCCCTTTCATGGCAGGGCCATCTTGAAACAAGTACCTTTTCGTCTCCAAGTTTTCGATCAAGTATTTGCCACCACCTCGAGGAATGATCTTCCAAAGAGCTCGATTGTAGTAATTTGCATCAGCACCCACAACAGCTGGTGCTTCGAAGCCTGAACTAGCCTTCCACCCCTTTTCTGCTCCACGGAACCCTTTTATTTTAGGGCCGTCCTGGAACAAGAGGCGCTTTGTTTCGACGTTTACAATGACATATATTCCCTCGCTAATACCTATGAGTTAAGATTTCAACAACGTCAAATATTACCAGCAAACACATGTATTTTAAGACGCTCTCTCTCTAAGATCCTCATAAAAATTTTTCGTTCATCTCACGGATATCCTGGAAACTTGGCATCTGAATTACACTTTATGAGGTTAGCTTCAAAATACATTTCCTTTGTACTCATGACTGATTTGTCTGTTTTTTGATTGAGGTCCCGTGGGAGACAAATTGGTCATTCTGTCCTTCAAAATGTCCTTTTTTTTTTTTTTTACGAAAGTGAAATCTTTCCGCTTCCCTCCAAATTTAATTCAAAGCCTTATCCTACCTCATGATAAAATTTATATGTCCTCTTATTACTAGGATGTTCTTGACGTTCACATCGTACCGTTTTAAGAAGTGAAATTTTGACTTCAAGCACATCCACTTCTACAACTTAATCAAAACTCGAAAACATGGGCACACAAAAAATCCACGTAATTGAACATCCTTATTTTATGGTTGGGGCTTCGTTAAGGGCCACTAGCATTACTTGGGATACACAGAGAACTATAGAGGTCTCGCATTTATTGTCATCTGAACTAAGTTTTGAATAGGGCACGCTCTCGCGCCAGTTGCGCTCCTGTCGGTGGCGAAATTTGAGAGGGGAGGAAACTCACTTAGGAGCCTTTTCACTTGAGATTGGGAAACGGGAAGGGCTTTGCTTTCTGCTCATAATGGAAATTTCAGCGCGGTTAAAGGAAATGGGAATGCCTTGCAATTAGTTACAGTAAGAACGTTCGCACCTAGAAACAGAGCTAATCAGGTTTCGCTGCAAAATGAGTGTATTCAAATGAAATTTAGTAACGACTTGTCATTCCGTTCTTTTTAAAACAGACCACGAGCTCCGAAAGCTTTGCGTATCACTTTAAAAGCCCAAATTATTAAAGCGCTTGTCGAAGCTAGGCACAAACTAGCGCATGCAGAATTATTATTGATGGGGAGTCAGTCCACCGAGAACAATTCACAGTGACATTGGACAACACGATATTTTGTATTACCTTGAAAAAGTAAAGAAAAAAAAACCTTTGCAATCATCGACAGATTATGATGGACTTACCTTCTTCACAAGAACCTCTTTTAGCAATTTCAAGCTTATCAGCTGTATCTGAAAAGTAACAATTTTAAAACAAAGTTTTATTGAAAAAAATCGTATATATTTATGCCAATTTGACCGCCCGGATAATCAGTTGATACCTCGAGATCGAAAACAGGTGTTTCTAAAAAACAAGAGAGATTGGGATCACGCTGATTTTCTTGTGGAAAATGAGTATGTTTAAGTGAAAGGAAATGGGAATGCCTTGCAATTGGTTACAGTAAGAACGTTCGCACCTAGAAACAGAGCTAATCAGGCTTCGCTGCAAAATGAGTGTATTCAAATGAAATTTAGTAACGACTTTTCATTCCGTTCTTTTCAAAACAGGCAACAAGCTCCGAAAGCTTTGCGCATCACTTCACAAGCCCTAATTAATGAAGCGCTTATCGAAGCTAGGCATGAACTAGCGCATGCAGAATATTATTGATGGGGAGTCAGTCCACTGAGAACAACTCACAGCAACATTGGAAAACACGATATTTTGTATTATCTTGAAAAAGTAAAGAAAAAAAAAAACCTTTGCAATCATCGACAGACGGACTTACCTCTTTCAGCAATTTCAAGCTTATCAGCTGTATCTGATACCTCGGGATCGAAAACAGGTGTTTCTAAAAAACAAGAGAGGTTGGGATCACGCTGATTTTCTTGTGGAAAATGAGTATATTTAAAATAAAATTTTAACACTCTATATTATATTGAGCTTTGCCAGAAATGCGAAGGAATAAGACAAGCAAAAATATATTAAAAGGGAAAAAAAGATCGTTTTACTATGTTAAAAGAGCTGCGTGCGCCAAAGATTGCTGGCCCCTCCTTTAACTAAAAGGAGAGGTGCAAAAAAAGGAAGAGGAAACTGATTTAAAAACAGTAGAAGTCTGCTTAGTGAAAGTATTGTTGGATGTTGCACGCCGTGTTAGACCTGAGGTAGATTCTAATAAAACTGTTAAAAACTGAAACACTTACCAATCTTCTCGTCCTCGTTCAGCGCGACTTCGGGGTTCTGATCGGTCTCGAGTGGAAGTGACTTGGCCAGAGCCAAAGTTATCAAAAACAAGACAAGGCTCTTCATTTTCTTCTGAAAAAGAAAGAAAGAAACAAACAACGAATTCAGAAGTTAATATGAATGAAATGAGCATGCAATAAGTTTTGAAGGAAATATTCTGATATTCATATGAATCTATGGAGCAATTCTGGGTTGGGCGGTTTTGGGTTCGAGTCCTCGTTCACTTTGTTGAGTTTCCAAGCGAGACAATTTACTCGCAATACTCGCTCTTACTTTCTGCGAATTATCGATTATTTTGAAAATGCCAGGAGTTGCGAGAGAACTGGATTAGCTAGACTCTTTAAGCTATCTCTTCAGCGACAAATTTGTAAGAATCCGGCTTTGAAAAGATCCCTCTCTCAATGTTCAGATTTGTGAGTTAGAATGCTCATGAACAGCGTACGAGGATTAAAAGGAAATAAAACTTCTCAAACGAAAAAAGGTTTTTTCGATACATCTCCGATAATGGCATCTTGCATCAAACACGAAAAGAAGAAAACTTGCAAGCGTTACTTACTCCTTTGGGACGTCGTCGTTCACTGACTTTGTAGTGACTCTTCGTTATTGGTTAGCTCTCCGCGAAGAACTGAACGAATGCAATTGTTTATCTCCTTTTACGCGGTCAGGATTGTTGAATAATCGAATGTAAAATTGACATCTGTACATAACAAAAAATTGATTAAACCTTAATTTGCAGATGGTCAAACATGTAAGAGGCATCAGTCGCATCTAGGAAACAGGAAACGCTTCGATAAACATGCACTGCAATTAAAGCAAAATTGTGTTTACTTATCACGTCCACTGTTTAGTGATAGGTAATAACTTGAGTGTTTACATAACGTTATGAGGTACGAAATGATACGAATTATATGAATGATGTGAAATAATTGCTTACTCGTTACAGTTAAACAAAAATATGAAACAATACTTCCCATCAATATCGTGAAAATAAAGAATTTCCGATTTCAGTGATAACTCAAGTATTTGACATAAAATGCGTGTACTAAAATAGGAAAGGGTTAGTTTGTGCGGTTATTGCTAAATTACTTGATTCAGGACTGCTCGTTCGTTTGTCTACCTAGAAATGTAGATACTCCTATTTAGATAATAAGAAAAGGGTATTCAATTTAATAGAGGCCGACCGAAAGGTGCTGATGTCTTTACAGAGTGCGCACACGACAGCTCAATACTGATAATTTCATAAATATTTGTGAAGCTGGGTTGAAAAAACTTCCCAAATATTCCTGTTTAAAAATAAGATTTCTGATTCAGATATTAATGAATATTTAGTCAAGAAAAATACACTTATGCAATATGTACATTTAATAAAACGTACGAAACAAGCAGGGCCCCCATGGAAGCAGGCAGAGTGCAAAAAGTTAAAACTTAACTCTGCACGTCAGATTCTTTTTGTTATTAATATTAAAAGGGGCTATAAAAAACATCATTGTTTAATACTACTTAGTTACTAAACAAAGATAAACACTAAGGAGGGTGTTAATGTCAAATTAACACCATAATAAATTCACCATAATTAAAGCACAATTGTGTTTACTATTTAGTGATAGGCAATAATATAATTTGAGTGTTTACTCATCTTTACGAGAAATGAAATAATGCGAATTATATGAATGGTATGAAATAATCATTGCTAACTTATACGTGTAACAGAAAAATAAAAATTTTTAAACAGTACTTCCTATCGACATCTTAAAACTAAAGAATCTCAAATTTCAGTGATACTCTTTACCTTGACCAGATAACGTTTACAAAGCTAAGTTGCCATAATTAGTCTCCTTTTCAGCGATGTATGAATGATTAATTATAACAAAAATAATTGGTAAAAATAGTGTTTCTACAAAAACATTTCACAAAATCATGATATTTTATACGCTAACTTACAACTAAGTAAGAGGAAAAACAAAGAAGTGGAAAACTTTGGTAAGTGCAGTAAGTGACAAATTTTGCACACATCTTAAATACAGTTTTGACATATTTTGAAAAGAACCTTGATTTCAAGGCAACTCATGAATTTTACCTTGATTTGAAGTCAACCTTGATTTAAAAAAAACAGTTTTGACACATTTTGAAAACAACCTTGATTTCAAGGCAATTTGAACTTTTCACAACGTCTCACCCGCGAGTTTTGAAAAGAGTGTGAATAATATCAAAATCTCTCGGACGCGTCCGAAATTTCTCTTCATTTATTTCCTTCAAAAGTTTTTCCGAAGCGTCCGGAATTTTTGTCGTTTATTTTCTACAAAGATTTTTTTGCCGCTTCAGAATTTTCTCATTTATTTTCTTCAAAAATTGTCTGACAAGTCCGGAATTTTTCTCATCTATTTTCTACAAAAATTTCGCTGAGGCGTCCGAAATGTTTTCATTTATTTTCTACAAAGAATTTTCTGACGCATCCGAAATTTTTCTCATTTGTTTTCTACAAAAAATTTTCTGAGGCGTCCGAAATTGTTCTCATTCATTTTCTATAAAATTTTTTCTGAGGCGTTCGAAATTGTTCTCATTTATTTTCTACAAAGAATTTTCTGACGCATCCGAAATTTTTCTTATTTGTTTTCTACAAAAAATTTTCTGAGGCGTCCGAAATTGTTCTCATTCATTTTCTATAAAATTTTTTCTGAGGCGTTCGAAATTGTTCTCATTTATTTTCTACAAAAGCTATCCCGACGAGAAAATAAAAATAAATTAGTTGAATGAAAAGCGCTCGTTGATACCGTGGGGATTAAGAGTGCCGATTTGGAAGATAAATTTTTGTTCAATTGTTTTACGGCTTTCCGAACTGCCAAGATGTAGGGAAAGGCCGAAAACTGCCCTAAGCTGTAAAGAATGATTAGGGAGACTAAAGTGTCTGGCGACTGGTTTGGATGCGTCACTGTAATTTCTTTCTACGTCGTGAACGGTGTTCTCGGAATCGGTCACATAGTCGTCTTCCTGTTTCACCCATGTGTAACTTTTTGCAATAAGTGCAGGTTATACAGTAAATAACATTGGTGGAGGTGCACATAAAGTGATCAGTGATCTTAATGGATCTCTTGGGTCCCGACATTTTCTCTACGTTATAAATGAAAGGACAAGTTTGCATCGTGAGCGAGCACATTTGAAAGTTCCAAATTTGTCAGTAAGCAGGTTGTTTTCAAAGGCGATTGAAAATAATTCTATCTCTGATATGGAGTTCAACTCAATGTTGCACGAGATTAAGCTGTATGAATCACTGAAAAGACAGTTGAAAAATAAAGCAAAAATCTCATCTAAGGTTCATGTTGACGCTATAAGAGAAAAGATAAAAGAAGATGATCGAAAAAATAACGAAGTAAGATTTGAATTTGAAAGAAAATTAAATGGCTTTCCTCTGTTTATTTCTCGACATAAATTCTAAAGATATGCAAATTCAACAGAATTAAATTTTATGCGCTGGTTAGATATCCAAGGCACAAAAAGTATTAGATAAAAATATCAGGATCACTTTCTCAAATAGTCCTGAAAATCTTCAGATTAGTCTTAAAGAAGCGAGTTGGAAAATCACTGAAAGCTAACTTGTTATAATTTTCAGTTAACTCAACAAGATTGATCAAAAAATAAGCTTGCGCTTGTGAACAATCAGTCAACTTCAATAGTCGCGACATTTTCTTTCCTGAAATTTCTTTTAATCGCTCAAAACCTATCCCTACGTAAAAAAAGCGATTCTTGTCCATTCTGACACGTCCGAAACAGTTTGAAGGAAAATAACTTTGAAATAAATAGAAACTTCTGAGGGTCATTTGTAGAAGACAAATATGAAAAATTTCGGACGTGTCTGAAAACTCTTTGTAGAAAATAAATGAGATAAATTTCGAACGCGTCAGAGAAACTTTGGACAAAGACAAATGAGAAAATTCTGACGCGCCAGAAAAATTTTTGTAGAAAATAAATGATAAAAATTTCGGACGCCTCAGAAAAATTTTTGTAGAAAATAAACGAGAAAAATTCCGAACTCGTCAGAAAAAGGTTTAAAAGAAAATAAATGAGGAAAATTCTGACGCCTCAGAAAAATTTTTATAGAAAATAAATGAGAAAATTCTGACGCCTCAGAAAAATCTTTGTAGAAAATAAATGTAAAAAATCCGGACGCTTCCGAAAAACTTTTGAAGGAAATAAATTAGAAAAATTTCGGACGCGTCCGAAAGATTTTGATAATATTCACACTCTATTCAAAATTCACGAGTGAGACGTTGTGAAAAATTCAAATTGCCTTGAAATTGGGGTTGTTTTGAAAATGTGTCAAAACTGTTTTTTTAAATCAAGGTTGACTTCAAATCAAGGTAAATTCATGAGTTGCCTTGAAATCAAGGTTGTTTTCAAAGTGCGCCAGAACGCACTTTTTATAACTGCTTAGGGTCATAAAAATGATCTCGTCTCAATGATGCCTGGAAGCCTCTCTATAGTTCGCCGGCCATCTGAACTCCTCACTCCTCACTCCTCACCTGAACACTCGTCGAGGTGTGAGCTGATCACTTTTCAAGGTAAAGATCTGTGCAAAATTTGTCACTTACTGCACTTACCAAAGTTTTCCACTTCTTTGTATTTCCTTTTACTTGTAATTCAAAGTTTGGTTGTAAGTTAGCGTATAAAATATCATGATTTTGTGAAATATTTTTGTAGAAACACTGTTCTTACCGATTATTGCTGAAAACGAGTCTAATTATGGCAACTTAGCTTTGTAAACGTTATCAGGTCAAGGTATAGAGTATCACTGAAATTTGAGATTCTTTAAACAGTGGACGTGATAAGTAAACACAATTTTGCTTTAATTGCAGTGCATGTTTATCGAAGCGTTCATTTCATTTGAATTAGACTGCTTTCATTATGTAATACTTGTATTTAATGAAAAATTTCCGAATTTCCAAGGGTTAATTTTTTAGCTATGACAACTGTCAAACCTCAAGAAGTAATGTTTTCCAGCACATAAGCAAACAACCATTTCCTGTTTCCAAGATGCGACTGATGCCTCTTACATGTTTGACCATCTGCAA